TAAAAAAAATAGAAAGGAAGTTAAAAACAATACAAACTAATGTAAAGAAAAAGAAAGAAAAAGAAGCATAATTGATGAATAAAATAGGTTTTAAGATTGAAAAGAAGATAAAATGTTTGAGTATCACTATGACAAATATGAATTATATGTTATTTCAAAATAACTATGTTAAGACATGGAATGAAGTTAAAAAAGATGTGTTAAGATGGCAGAAACTATAATTGTCATTGTTGGGGAGAATTTCTGTGATAAAGATAAATGTCTTGCCTAGAATGATGTTTTTATTTCAGACAATACCTGTTTTGACAACTGAGGCATCATTTAAACAGTGGCAGAAGGATGTATCTAAATTTGTGTGGTAGGGGAAAAAAACACAAGGTAAATATAAGGTGTTACAAGATGCAAAGGAAAGAGGAGGATTGGATTTACCTGATTTGAAACTGTATTTTGCAGCTTGCTGTTTGGTTTGGAAGACAGAGTGGGTGTTGCTGAGAAATAGAAGGCTCTTGGAGTTAGAAAGACATGACCTGAGATTTGGGTGGCGTGGATATTTGTGGTATGACAAAGTCAAGGTTATTGTGGATTTTAATAATCATTATGTCAGACGTGCCATATTGAGAATATGGAATAGATAAATCCAGATTGTATCCAAGAATACCTTTGTGGCTCTCAGCACAAGAAGCTTTTTATAGATGAGAAATAATAGGCAACACAAATGGTTAACTTATTGTGAGATACTAGGATTTTGTCAAGGGGAATATAAAATAAAATCAAGAGAAGAACTGGTGGCAGAGGGATATAGTTGTCAATGGTTCTCTTATTTACAATTATTAGAAAGATCTAAAGTTGACAAAAGACTGTATTGTTTTGAACAATATAAGACTGAGTTTGAAATAGAATTGTGTACAAATGAACGTGTAATTGCTAAAATGTATAACCTTTTATTGAAATTTGAAACAGAAGAAGAACAAGTGAAAGAATGTATGATGAAGTAGGCTAAAATTTTGGTTATAATATACAAATGGAACAATGGGAAAATATGTGGCTTAAAGGATTGAAATTTCCATTATGTTATATTCTTAAAATGAATTTTTATAAAATGATATATTGTTGCTATATGTCACCAGAGAAACTGTTTAGAATGTATAAAGGCACTTCAAATTTAGATTGGAAATGTGAACAAGAAGGGACATTTTGTCATGTTTGGTAGACATGTAAAAAAGCTAGAAAATTCAAATACATATACTGAGTCAGAGGATTTTAAAGATTAATATATAATTGAGACCAGAGGTTTTTCTTTTGGAATTGATGGACAAACAGTTGGAAAAAGGTCATGGAACTTTATTTTTGTACATGATAACTGCAGCGAGATTATTGTACACACAAAGATGGAAAGTTTGGCATTACCCACAAGGGAGGAATGGTTGGTGAAGATGATGGAACTTGCTAAGATGGCTAATTTGACTTCTTCAATCAGAGAAAAGACAATATCTACATTTATTGCTGATTGGAAACCTCTTATGCACTTTGTGAGTGAAACAGAAAAAAATGAATTAATATTTTATGGTTTTGATGGTTAGACAGGATAGATTATAGAAAGAAAAGAGTTATATTGTAACCACAGAGTAAGAGGTAAATTTATAATTGTACTTATGACTGCTGTAAAGAAGATCGGAAGCTACTTCTATGTATCTTCTTTCTTTCTTTTCTATTTTTCTTTTATTTTTTCCCTGTTTAAATTTTAGCCTTCTCTTTGATTTCTTTCTTTTTCTGATATTCTTACAAAGTTTCCAGTGGAAATGGAAATTCTGGGCATGTTTGTTTGTTTATTTATTTATTTGATTTATATCCTGCTTTTTCTTCAAGAGCGCAAGGTGGCATGCAGACTACTTCTTCCTCACCAGACAACAAACCTTTGAGGATAGGTTGGACTGAGAGAGTGATTACCCCAGCGTGACAGTCTCTCTCTCTCCCCCTCTCTGCCTCCCTCTCTCTCTGCCTTCATCTACAACAGTGTTGTCCAAACTTGGCCACTTTAAGATGAGTGGACTTCAACTCCCA